TAACCCTTTAGAAAAAAAAACCCCAGGAGTGTTCAAACTTGACAGCTTTAAGACTTGTGGACTTCAGCTCCCAGAAACTCTCCTCTCGCTCTTCATCTTGATGATGTGCGGACGGGCTGGGGGAGGGAGCTGGAACCAGTTCTAAATGACACTGTAGATTTGCGGAACCTCTTCTATAGAAGAGGTTAGAACTGGCAGGAACCCAACCCTGGTTTAAATCTATATTACATTGTGTGGAAACAATATGTATTTAAAAGGAACAAATTAACAAGTATTTTATTGACTGAACTATGAAACACAGCTTGCTTGCTTGCTTGCTTGCTTGCTTGCTTCCTTCCTCCCTCCCTCCCTCCTTCCCTCCCTTTTCTTTTTTTCCCATTGGCTTCTCTTTCTCTAAGTTTAGTTTACATTGTTTTTTATTGTTGCACTTAAAATTCTTAATAAAAATTATATTCAAATTTCCTAGATGCAGTACATGCTTTGTTTACATTGATAATTACTACTCTTTTGTATGATATTTAATCTTGATTCCTCATTACATTTCACTTCTAGTTGTGTTTCTATCTGATCAGCAACTGATCATTTGCTGCTTGTTCCTTTTTTTAATGGTACACTATCTTTAATAACACTGCCTTTTATTTGTAGGAAATTAATTGTGTAATGACTTGTTTTTCATTCTAGAAATATAAGTGTGAGCTTCTGAATGATACTGCCTATATGCACTGCTTCCCATGACTGGAAAAAAGAATGGTTCTCTATCTAGTGCTTAGGGGAAGGCTAATTTTCAGAATTATAATTATGTCCCTATCTTGATACCCTATTTCCCTGAAAATAAGACCTCCCCCGATAATAAGCCCAATCAGGCTTTTGAGCACATGTGCTCAAAGTAAGCCCTCCTCTGAAAATAAACCGTCCCTGAAAATATTGCAATACAGCAGCAGAATGAGGTCACCACACTCGCCACCTGCTGCATCTCAAAAATAACAATAACTCCCCGAAAATAAGGCCAAGTGCTTATTACGGAGGTAAAAAGAAAATAAGAACCTGTCTTATTTTCGAGGAAACACGGTACTCGTTTTACAAATCTGTCAACTAACAATACCAAATATAACCAGAGAAGATTTTTATATAATTTATTATGTTTTAATACAGTGGGCTTACTATTAGTACACATTTTTGAGATAAATAATTTTAATGTATACCTGCCAGGTTACCTGAATATTTCAGGTAGGAATAGTAGACTGCATTGGAAAAAATGCTTTTGATAATAAACTATAATAGGTATATTCTACTAGTGCTATTGTAAATGAGTGCCTTAAACTCTTTCACTGGTTTCAGGATTAAACTACAGTAACAATGCAATCCAAAAGTGAAAAAAATCAAAGTTAGAATTATCTTATTGGACACTAAAATATTTATCACATAAACATTTTGGGTCACATAAAATAAATTGAACTAAGACTAAAAACATAATTAAATAAAAATGTGGATATTAAAATTATTAAATATATTGAATTAAGTCTATGAAATGTTGAACTCACTCAAAAGACACATTATGAATGCAACTCTACTTTTTAACCCATTCTTCCCCTTAGTTGCCATTTCACAATTTGCAATGGTATTTGAAGCTTTACATGGCAAAATTAGTTGAGTTTATAGGCCATAGCCTCTAATAACCTCTCATGTTTTTTACCTCACTTCCCATATCATACAGTTCCCGTTATCTATTTCTCGGCACAAATACAAGCAGTAATTAAATTTCAATATCTTGTGATTGTGCAACAGGAACAGTCCTTTCAGACAAAGCACCTCAGAGACTGGGGAATAAGACTTCACATATCATGTTTTTCTGATATTTCTCTTTTGCAGCTTTTAGTGCTTTCTTAGAAAAGACAAAGGAACCCATTTGTAAAACATTTAATAAAGTAAAGCAAAAGACTTCAAGTGGCTACTGTGACCATCTTAAGAAATAAGCAGCAGACTGACCTCGCTATCTGTTTTATTAATTCTTATCCTTTATGAATATTTTATTGTATCATACAATTATGAATTTTTGAATTTTAATTTTATGACCTTTAGTGAATTATTTACCTGATTAAGATTTTGATACTTACTATATCAAAATGTTCTTACTGTGGACTATTTTATGTATAGCCCACAACAGAAAAACTATATTAGAGTAAAACCTATTATTAGCCATTAATGCATATAAAATACAAAATAATTTCAACACCCACTTTAAAGAACTAAATGAAATATTAATCTTGTGGCTTCCAATTCCTTTTTCTTTAATTATTCTTGTTCTCCCCGGTCTTATAAAAAATATGTTGTGCATAAATAAATGTACATTAGGATTATATTTTATGTTCTATCACAACATGCACATAGTTTGCAAAACATATCAATGTTTGCAACAAATTAACATTACAAATACAAAAATTCATGCATGGAGATCACCATGTGGAAAATATGTGAAAACAATCCTGCAATATAGCTTCTCTTAACTTTCAACCTTGTTTCTTTTACATGAACGTGACATATTAATCAATATTTCTTTATACTTTTAATAGATCTCATACAACAGAGGTATTTTTTACTTTTTTTTCTTATACTTTATATTAAAATATTTACAAGTAACATGGATCAGCCAAGATTTGGATATTTCCACATTCTAGAAAAATTTACAATGAGATATATTTAAAAGCTATGGTTTTGATACTATTTCCATCTCCTGGCAAAAGGAAAATATTAGTAGGACTTTGAATCTCCTCAAGCCACTTTTATCTAATCTGATAAATCACACGTTTAAATTCCAAAGTGATGTAATTTAAAAAGCATAAAATGCATGTCCAAAACAACAAAATACAAGAGTGAGAGACAGAGAAAACAGAGGAGAAATGGCATATAAATATATTTACAAATAATATTATAAACAAACATTACCTGGAACAAGCTCCATCACAATATAAATAGGCTGCCTTTGAGTACATACTCCTATAAGCTTTACGATATTGGGATGGTCATATTGTTTGAGTATTCTGTAAAGAGGTGGAAAATGTCCTTACATCAATGTGGCATATCAATCTCTAAATGCTCTTTAATTTATTGTAAGAAAAAAGTTCATTCACTCACATTTGTTCTTCCAGGAAATTTAATTACAAATCAAGTCATGAAAGATTTTCCTAAATTTTTGAGAGTATTGTATTATATATATTTTGCTTATGAAAACAGTAAAGATCTAAATATATTCACTTTATGTATAGAAAAAATCTAGGATAATGGTCTTATTGCTGATTTGTCTGCCCTTTCCACATCCCAGAGAGGCTTAATTCATGTGACTTCTACATTATTATGAATGTAATAGCATAAACACTTTCAAATTGAAATACATTTTGAAGTGGGAAATATTTTCAGCCACAAAATGACTTTTACAATTATATATTTTGGTATTTTTTTACTTCTTACCTGGCCTCTGATAAAAATTTTATTTTTAGTTCTTGAGGAAGATCTTCTTTACATGTTTTTACAGCAACAGGTGTTTTATCTTTTAATGTTCCTTTATAGACTTCACCAAAGTTACCCTGAAGTTGTAAATATTAGAAGTTATCAGTGAAGAAAACAGTGAGCAAAATAATTGTTCTAAATGCATAAAATATAAGAATACCTTAACTCAATGCATCATATTAATTTTCTTATATAAGCTCATGTGACTTAGAGAAGGAGATATTGTTTTTAACTCATGACTAGTGCAGTGCATCTTAAAATGAATTCAAAATTCACATTTTCATACACATGCAGTACAAGACTTTTATTACATCTTAGTTTGAAGAAATACTGAAGTGACAGTATTTTCAAATTAATTAAAATAACAGCTGCAAACTAAAAAAACCTATAATCTCCATTCCTGTCTTTTTATTTATACTTTCATATACTACATATTGCCCTCCATGATCTGTGCTGAAATCTGTTATGAGTCTCCAAAGTCCTATCATGAATAGGCTATTTATAGCTTAGGGCTGAATTGTGGGGTCCTGGTACTCTCTCAACTAAGCTCAGAGAGCACCAAAGACTTCACAGTCCTATCTTGCTTGTTCTTTCTTGACTTCTCGTGGTTTTAGCTGATATTCTGGAAAGACCTCAAACTAAATTAAAACACTATCATGTATTGAGAAGGCTTAATAACTACTATGTCTTGTAAGATGAAGGTGTTTTCTAACAAGGTTTAACGTTTAGCATTTTCCCATTACTTTGAGAGTTACTTACTTTGCCAAGTAGTTCTCCCAGAATGACGTCTTCATGATTGAGAATCCATTTTTTATCCTGCAAAAATTGACATTAACATTTAGTTTTTTAAAAAGAATTTCTTATTCATATCATTAGTTTTCTTCCAGAAATATGATTCAATGAAACTAGACAACCACCATACTAAAGAGTTTCAAGATGAAGATGGTCATGTGAAATCAGCTAATAAAACCATGGCAAATTCCTAATCAAAGCTTTGGCTCAATATAATATCCATACAATATATCTATATTATCTTTAATATATGAATGCATCTCTCATTTTTAAAGATTACTGAAAAGATCATTAAAATGTATTATATTACATGTGAAAACCCCAAATATTTATAATACTGACTATAATATGCTTGCAATATAGCTTTATGATCTTGATATAAAAGTTTTAAAGAGCTCTTTCAACAAATTTTACTTAAAGAGCATTTTAAAGATTTTATATACATTTTAATCCAAATAAAAATTGCCACTGCTAAAAAGAGTTAAGCAAAAACATATTTACCTAAAAAAATTGAGATTACTATTATCTTAACACTGTTTCTATATTTTTTAGCTATGTATCTTTACTGAAATATATCTTATGAGATCAGACCATAAACCAAGTGTATCTTAGTTTGCATTGAAGAAACCTGCAGTGGAAAAACCAATATCATCAACTCTTGTATGAGATCTTGAAGAGATATTATTGAAAAAAATCCAAAGTATTCAATTTTAAATTGTATACCAAGTAAATGGCAGAATTAACTTTGGATTCATTCTTAATATCCTATATAACTTTCAACAGCTTGTAGATTGAAAGACAGATTCTATGGGTATGAGTCTTAAAGAGCTAGCCCTATATTGATCATCTAATGAAAAACCAGAGTATCTGGTTTTCATAAAATATATGGCAGAAAAACAGGTATCCAGTAGATAAAATCAGCGGTCACATTTCAAAGGCACTTGAAAAATGAGGTAAAATGACGATCCAGATTGTTGGGGGCAATATGCTGACTCTGTAAACTGCTTAGAGAGGGTTGTAAAGCACTATGAAGCAGTATATATATATATATATCTAAGTGCTATTGCTATAAGAAAAAAATAAGATGATCTGCATTAAGCAGAATGGCACAAGATCTTCATTAGGCATGCTTGAGAAGATCTCTCACTGATTATACATTTCATAGCATAAAAGAATAATACTAAAGGAAACAGGTAGACAAACGTAGAGATATATTAAATCAATGCACACAAATTAAAGCAACAACTTTAGGAAGGTTCAAAGCAATATTAGCAATATTTATTATCCCAATTCTTTAAAAAGAAAAATGAGTATTTCTTCAATCACTGAAAAGGAATTATAGCAGGCAAATTATGTTCATTATTCATTGTCCAGTCCTCTGCTGGTTTCTTTTAATTCCTATTAATTTAATTCCTATTTGTGATATTCATTTATCTAACTTAAATCCTGACATACTGCTATATAATTAAAACCAGAACAAAATTAAAATCAGTAACTTGAACCTCAGTTTAAGCACTTGGTAAAAGAGATGGATTTCTATAATTTTACTAGGAGAGCTGAGGGGCAAGGGTACCTGTTTATAAAATGTACTTCATAAGCATACAGGAAAACACCCATTTTCATGTACAGATTAAACAGGCTTCTGTCAGCAGGGAAATCTCCAAATGGATCTCTCTTGCTGATCTAAATAACTGGATTGATTAAAAGATGATCCATCAGATAATCAATTCCTAAGCTATTTAGTGTGTTAAAATTCAACATTAATATCTTAGATTGTGCTTGGCAAGTAATTGCTACAATTTTTTTCTTCTTCTTCCATTCAATCATGACCGATTCTTGGATTTGGAACATGTTTAACATACATTATACATAACTTGTGGCAGACAACAGCTTGTTTAATCATTTTGCACTAAAAACTATTGTTGGTCACTTTTCAACAGTGGATCCACATTGAAATCATTCATAAAATATGTAATCAAGGCATAGATAACAATGGCCAAGCCAGACTAGCTCAGGAAAAAAATCAAAGTTGGAAGAATCACTATAGCTATGCAAAGATGTTCCTTGCCTCAGGCTTCATATGCAAACCCAAAAACAACTGGGAGCCAAGGAGCAGTCCCATACTGTGAACATATCCTTTGTTGGAAAGAAAAAACTTTGTACTAAATAAACTTCACATCTACCTTGAGTCCAGTTTTCTCATTACCAACAGTATTGTCCTGGATTTAATCATTCAAATTAATAATAATTAATGATAATGAAATGAATGATAGGGAACAACAGAAAGGGGTGAACTATACACCCCTTTGATACCTATTCCAAAGCTGATGACCATATCTAGAGGTGCATCTAACAAGAAGGATCAATTCCATCCAACACTCTGCTCAAAGTAAAACCTAGCAAACTCCTCCTTGCAATTGCCATAAGCCCTTGTCAACATACTAAAGTAATCCACAATTAGATCCAACAAACACAGCTGCACCCAAAGTCATAATGAATACAAACACACACATAAACACATGTGTAAGAAGAACATTTCACTGTTCAGTGGTTTAAAATATTTGTTTTAAAGGCACTATGAATACATTTTAAAAACTTCTTTATGAGAAATATATTTGATGTATAATTATTCAGAACAATAATTAAACAAAATTGTACTATAAACTGCAATCAAATAAGGTGTCAGAAAATGTTACAACTATTTATACCAGTACATTAATCATTACATCTGCTGCTCTTCCAATGCCTTTTTATGTCACTGTTTTATGATATAAGCTTTCCACATTCGTTAGAATCAATATTTTTAGTCCCAGATATTTCTTCGCAAAAAATTAATTGGGATTAATTGAAATGTACCCAAGGTGTTAAAGTTCTAGCATCTTTAAGAGTACATAAGCTATCCTACAGCAACATAGTATCCTCTTTCTACCATAATTTCTAGAAATAAGCATAGCATTTTCATATTATGAATTTGAATTTTTCTTCAGTTTTTCTACTTTCATTCCATTTTGTTTGACAAAATATTAGCTGAACCCCAGAACAAGGCACAAGTTTGAACATATGCTGATATATAATTTACATTTACTACATTCTAAGTTAATAGAAGTGCACAAACAATAGACTATCATTAATCAAACAATTTTTGCCTCCATCTGGACAGCAACAAGTTTTTGTTATGGGGAAACATGTAGCTAATTCAGGACACCAGCTGTTAGAAAGGCAAAAGCTCAGGGAAGGAATGAAAAGTTTAAATTAGTAGTAAATGAACAAAAATATGACATCATCCTATAAAACTCCCCTTCATTCAAGTACAACTGTTATTAAAGCACAAGAAGAAAAAAGCAAGGGAGGCGAAGATAATATTTTGCCAGTAAAATGGGAGGAAATAAACTATTGGAAAACTCTAAAGGAAAGAAATGGACAAGAGACTGATGGGATTAGCATATTACATTAAGACAGACTATAGTTTTGAAGGTTTTGTTCACTTTAATATGTAAATGTGGGCATGATAGATTGTGAATGATTTAATATATATTAAACAGGTGGTGGGGTGGGGACTTGAAGGACTATTATCCTTAAAACAAAAGAGGCAGTCAAAGGACATTCTAAGTTTGAAGGTACTAAAAGCTAATGTTTGATGTTTGTGGTTTGGTGTTATGTGTGAAACTATTAGCAATTTAATACTTAAATAAACAATAAATACCCCAAGGAATAAAATCAAAGTTGTGCCTTCTGTGAACTAGATGGAATAGATAGAATAATGATAAATTTCCTCTGTGGAAAAAAAAAGAAACCTTTAGTCTTAATTATACATATTTCCCAAGTGAAATACAAAGCCATGAATGTGGGGTGAAGGATTCAAAGTCCTTCCTCACAGCAGCCTTTTGCTGCTTATCTCATGTGAATCGTCTGCCTAGAAATGAAGCTATCTTAAAAAAAAATTCTTTTTTAAAAGTCTCTTTTTTCACTTTGAGCATGAGGGATGGCTTCACGCACTACTCTGACTGATGGATGGACTTTCATTTCATGCTCATTCCATGTAGAATTCTATGGATAAATTAACACTTGAAAAAGACATACTTTCCTTTACAACACCTATGTATATACTTTTAAATTCATAGATGCAAATGCTTTTGTTTCATATATAATCCTTACTCTCTGGAAATTCATCTTGAAATGAACTTATTTTTCAATATATTCCATTTAACTTTCCACATTAAAGTATCCATTTTTCAGCTGCACTGAATAGTATAATCAATGGAAACTTAGCAACAATGTTATATATATTGGTATAGAAGGGCATCTCTGGCAGGGTAAAACAGAGGGGAGCTTCAAGTAAACCTTATTTACTTCCTAAGTTCTATTATTTTTCATTCTGTATTAAAGCAGCAGAGGACATAATATTTTAACTTGGAAAGCAATTGTTAAATTCAGATTAAGGGGTTCAAAGCCTTGAAATTACTTGCAAAACAGGGAAAGCAATGTAAAACATTTTATACATAATTGGCCTTTTAAATTTCTCCTAACATTTTTTATTGCACTTGTTTATTAAATATCACTTTGTTCTTTCTTATTTACTCCTTCAATGGCCATTCACTAAACCGTCAAGCCAGAATTAAATATTTAATTCTTAAATATTTAGGAGTTACAGATATTTGGTTACATGAGGGATTTGTGACAAGACCAAATACAACATATCATAGGCCTGTGTGTGGTAGCGCAGCTTTGCCTCAGAGTTGTGCTTTGTGACAAATAGATGTGGTGGAATCCTCCTGGAGGTAAAAAGGCAATGTGACTTGTCTGAGTGAGATGTTTCTACTAACTCTGACACTTCAATCAGCAGTTCCAACAGGAAGTAACCAAAGCAAATAAAGCACTGCAATGCGGCCATTTTACTTGATTCTTAGAAGGATGGAAACTGTGTTACTTTAAGAAGCAGTTTCAAGGGAATGTTCACTTCAATGTTTATCAAAGAGACTGCAAAACACAAGCATATGTATCTGCTAGAAAGGAGAGCAGATCTC